GTGAATGTACAGCGCTCTCTCCACCTTCAGTACCACGACTGAGGTGCCCTTGAGCAAGGCACCGAACCCCCAACTGCTCCCCGGGCGCCGCAGCATAAATGGCTGCCCACTGCTCCGGGTGTGTGTTCACGGTGTGTGTGTGTTCACTGCTGTGTGTGTGCACTTTGGATGGGAAAATGCAGAGCACTAATTCCGAGTATGGGTCACCATACTTGGCCACATGTCACGTCACTTTAGATTTGTGTTATTTCATAGTTAAAGAGTTTTAAAGACTTGAAGACTATTAAAATGTCCAAAATAGTAATCACAAAGTAGGTGTGCCCAAACATTTGACTGGTTAAATTGCTTGTAAGTTGTATCCCTTAAAAAGGTTCACTCTTTCGGAAAATACTTGTTATTCAACATAAATATTTTTTATTAAGTGCTAACCGCTTGTCTCCTATCATGTTTTCTTTACTTCCCCCCTCAGATCTGGTGTCTGGGTAATGAAAGCCGATATCACATTAACCGCACGGTGGATGGATCCACACACTCGGTTCTGATTCCCGGCCTGCTCGCAGGGGTCACGTACAGGGTGGAGGTGGCAGCCAGCACAGGGGCCGGTCCCGGGGTCAAGAGCGAGGCTACGTCCTTCCCGCTGGGTGAGTCGGACCGGGATGTTATTCTGGTTAACCGAGACGCTCGACTCTGCCGGACCGCTGTTATTCAACACTGGCAGCTAAAGAAGAGCACAATATGAATGGTTGATTCATCTGATAACGGGTTACAGAAACATAACAAACACTCTGGTAAGCAGCTACCAGCTCGTTTTAACACCCGGCTGTGGAAAGGTTTGTGAGAATGGCCATTATTTAAGGCCTGCTCTTTAGAAAACGTACCGTCTATGCTTGTGAATGGCACGGTTGTAACTTGCCTTGTGGTTAGCCATCAAAAAGTATGTAATTTACAAAAACAGCCTTATCGGAGTCCTCATTCTCATCCGAGAATAAAGGAGATGTCAAGTAAAGTGCAGTTTACTTTAGTGCTGCAAAGCCTTTAATTGCTTTAAGTTTATTTCTCCATTAACTTACCAGCTTTAACTTGTTCAGCCTCGAGACATCGGTGGCAGCGGTTAAACTGCACTGAATGGAAGTGATTGTGATGCAGCCTGGTGTTGTGCCAGTGGATACAGGTGGATAATAGGCCATCCGGTTATGCAAATCTGTTTTTAATAAGATGCCAATCACTGCTGTCAGAAACTAGTTTATAGTCAGTCGTTTGACAGAAAGAGATTAAATGCTCTTTTGAAACCTTGTTGGATGCACAAAGAGAGACTCATACAGTAAAGTACACGAAGAAAAACAGATGACTTGATATAAAGCAACTGTTGTTTTAGTGCTGATTTTTAGTAGTAAGCAGTATATTGTGCATGTAAACACACACTATGTTGGTCTACATGACTGTTGTGACGAAGGGAGAGGTTTTTGTATTTGTTACTTAAAAAGTAAATAGAAAACTAATGTGCACTATTTGAAAAAGTAACTTGGGTATTACAGGGTAAATTCAGAATTTAGGTAATTTACATTTACATGTAAGGCTATCAAACGTTTAATCGCGATTAATCGCATCCAAAATAAACGTTTTTGTTTACATAATATATGTGTGTGTGCTGTGTATATTTATTATGTATATATAAATACATACACATGCATGTATATATTTAAGATCAATATGTTATGTTTATATATTAAATATATTTATATATAATATAAATATATACATGTAAATATTTTCAAAATATATACTGTATGTGTGTGTATTTACGTATATATATATACCCAATAAATATACACAGTACACACATGTAAACAAAACTGTTTATTTTGGATGCGATTAATCGCGATTAATCGTTTGACAGCACGTGCATCGCATTTTACCCAAGCAACTTACAAATAAGGAAGTAATTTGCCATTACTTCCAGTACAAAAATCTAATTTTGTTGAATATTATTTGTAAAATATTTCCCACAATGCTGCTCGTTTGTGGTATTTTTAATTTAAATTTTTTTTTTTGAAATAAATACTTCATCAAAGACACAAATTGATCAAAAGTTATATATACCCAATAAATATACACAGTACACACATGTAAACAAAACTGTTTATTTTGGATGCGATTAATCGCGATTAATCGTTTGACAGCACGTGCATCGCATTTTACCCAAGCAACTTACAAATACGGAAGTAATTTGCCATTACTTCCAGTACAAAAATCTAATTTTGTTAAATATATTTTGAAAAATTTTTCCCACAATCTTCCTCGTTTGGGGATTTTTTA